CCCCAAAACCCCAAAACCCCAAAACCCCTCTTGACAAAATTTACAGTATCGTGATTTATTGAATTATTGATAGATTTTTGAAAGATATTTCTAGATATTTAGAGATTGATTTTAGCTGATTTTCTCATAATTCTTCCTTTGCTTTTAGCTCTTTTTCTCTATCTTCTTTCATCTAAGTAGTGATGAATTTTCTTTCAAATGATGTCATCTCTTTGAACTCTGCTAGCTCTCCAAATTAGATCAAGGGTAATCCAGACTTAAGGATGTCTCTATATTCAAAAGCAAGTATGGCTTCTTGAGCTTTTAAAATATCAATAGCAGTCAACACTTCTTAATGACTTCCTAGTTCAAAGACCCCATAATATGTGCTATGGAACTTAATGTTAACCTTTTTAGAGGGTAAGAGGTTAATATTCTTTTTAAGTGTGTCTTTAACAGTCTAGAAGCAAAGTTATTTGATGCCAACCTTAGTGTAAAATTTCTCTCTGAATGAAACTATTAGAAAATTGTCGTCATCATAATACCTTTGTGGTTCCTATGGACATTAATTTGAATCAATTTACTGTTGGTGGGACATGAACTGAAGAAATCAAGCACAAGTTGTTAAAGAGAATAATCAAAATTGATATTCTAGAAAAATTAGCAGGCATTAAATTAAATAAATATAAATACTTGTTAACATATTATTGCTTACTTTGATTTAATTTGAATTTAAATTTATAAAATAATCAAAAGCAAATAAAAAATGGACTTTTATACAAAAATTAAGGAACTTGAATACATTCACTAAAAAATGTAAGACTATCAATATGAGATAAATTCCATAAAATAGTGAAAATGAAAGATTAAACCTGGAGAGAAAAATTGATCAGAGAAAAGAATACCAGAAGGTCTTTTATGATATTAGATCATCGTAAGTTTCGTTAATAAAATCATTATCACAGGGAAATCAAAGATGAACTATTCAAAATAGAGTAATTAAGACAAAAAAATGAAATTAGAAATGACTAAATGCTGCAAAAAGTGTAGGAAACACTAAATCAAACCTTTGAAAACTAGAACATCTAAAAATCTCGCTACTAATTAGAGGAGGCTAAAAAAACTTTCTTAAGAGAATTGAATAAAAGAGATCCATCATGGAGAGAAAAACTTAGAGCAAGAAAACTTGAGGAAATCAAAAGAATGGAATTAGCTAAAGACAGATTAGGTAGGGACTTAGCAGAGAGATAGAGACAGTTAGAAGAAGAGACCTATTTGAATGACTAACTACGTCGAATGAGAGACGAGTATGATGAGAAGTAATATGAGGTAGCTGATATTGAGAGAAAGCGCCGTGCCTTAGTAATTTAAGAAGAAATAGGCAAAAAGCAAAGAGAGTTAGAGCAAGTAGAGAGGTAGCTAGACGAAGAAAAACGATAAGAGTAGTAAATGATTAATAACGAGCAGAGATATAAAGATGTAGATAAATAAGTGATGTAGGAAAATACCAATCCTAATAAATATGCTCCTGTTGCAAAGCCCCCAATTGTCAATTAGCAATAATTTGACAATCAAAGATAGAAGTAGGGATCTTTTGGAGTTACCTAAACATAATAATAAATCCATGATCAAAAGAAGAACCAATAAAAGCATTAGTAATCTTAAGAGGAGTTAAAGCATAACTAAAACCAAAGAAGAGAGAATGATAACTCCATAAGTCAGCAATAAAACTAACAAAAATTTGACTTTAACATGGCTAATGAAAAAGATGAGTCTAAAGAAGAGGATAGTCATGATCAAGATAAATCTTTCAATAAGATGGCAAGCATGAGTTACAATCAGAAAACTTAGGATAACAGATAAAACAGCAATAAAAACATACTTTCACCTTCAAAATCTATATAAGATGAATAAGTTGATGAAGATTATGATGACTTTTTAAATAGAAAAGCAAGTGAGGTAGACAATAATTCATCAAAACAATAAAAGCATAGTCAAAACCCTGCAGGTTAAAGGAATTCAACCCAGGGATCTAAACAATCAAAGAAATAAATAGACCCTTTTATCAAGCCAACTGAGATAATCTAGCACTAGGAAGGAAGATTAGACTTTGAAGATGAAGAGGAAATTGATGAAGACGAGGATTAAGAATATGATGAAGAAGATGAATGGGAAAACCCTTAATAACAAAATAATGATACAAAGCATTAATAGAATAATCAATAGCAGCAGCAATAAAATCAACAGAAACAGTAAGATTTTAAGCAAAACTTAGAGCCTGATGAGGATGAAGAAGAAGAGTTTGAAGAGGAATAGGATAACGAAAATATAAAGGCTACTGATTTGTATATAAAGATTGTCAATAATAAGATTGCTGATTCCTTTTTTGCATTAACAGAATTACAAAGATAGACTGCTCTTGACCTCATACTTTAGCATCTATTGAACAATGTAGAAAACGGTTCATAGTTTTAGGCTTTTGATAATGAGTACTCCTCAAGATATGATTCACATAAAATCAAGGTAGTGAATCTGTATAATGAAGAAATTGAAGAGTTTAGTGAAAGTGAATATGACATTGAAATGCCAATAGTTTGCGATTTAGTGCTTGATCTATTAAGATACTATCCCAAGGCCATTATTGACGCAGTCAATGTAATCTCTGATTATAAGAAATCAATAAAATAAGGTTAGCTATATACTTTGCAAAAATTCCAGGAAAAAGTCTATCTCTCAGAGTACAAGGATCTTTTCAAGCTTTTCTTTAAAGTTATAGCACTATTTAGAGAGAAGAAAATCATCAAAAGTACACTGAATGCTTCTTAATTGATAGCTGAGAGTATTTTAAGAAACGATCAAGCAACTCTATAGAGTGAAATTGCAAATATTATGAAGTATCTAATTGATAACCAAGGCAAAAAATAAGGAGCAAACGCTATGCAATCAGAAGTAGTGGCAGTAAATTACGCTTAAGATGACAGAAAAAATAAGAAGGATTAGGTAATAAGTATCTAAGAGTAGAATGATGAGAGAGAAAATTACGTAATAGATATTCAAGATGAGCAAAGGATTGAATATGCTTAGCGACTTAAAGAAAAAATTGAAAAGAAGATCTAAGCAGATTCATACTCTTAACCAATTTACTCTGCTTTCACACTTTCAAATCCTTAGAATCTGATGGACATTGCTGAGCAAATACAATAATATAGATCTATCCCTAATGATAAAGATGTTCATGAACTAGGAGGAGTTTTGTTGTTCCTAATGATGTCTAGATTACAAAGAAATATTCACGAAAAAGATTTAGTATTCTTGGAAGATAGTGCAGATTTAAATGATTTTAAGGGCCTCTTCAGAGATCAATTTGTGAAGAAACTTTTTGTAAGGAATTTATGATATTTATTGATAATCTAGGATATAATGATGAAACATTTCATATTCTGCATTAAGAAAAAGGTTGCTAAGTAAAAGGACATAGAAAGCTTATTTGTTCAAGCAGTGATCAACTTTGAGTGCACAGATGCCGACTATAACATTGTAAGTAAATCTTATGGAATTCAAAAAAATCTTATGAAACTTATTTATAGATAAAGAAACAAATTTCTGATCAAATAAGCAGAGCCCTTGGATATGAAAACTATTCAGGCAACAATAATCAGAACTCTCTAAATGCAGGAAACGATTTCTTTTCTTAACAATTCCTTATGAAAAAGTCCAAATAAGGATCACTCTAGAATAGTGAAAAGATGGGAGGCTTTTAGACTTTTTCTCCTAACAGTAATATTCAGTTAAAGGAATTCTAGGACCCTGAGCTTGACGATTATATTTGAGTCTGAGTTTGAAATTTAGTAAAAGCAAGCGAAAGGATAAGTAAATTTTAATGAAATTAAGTATATGTTCAAATTATATTTTTAATTTATGTTATCTGCTATATTAGATTATGATTATCTAACTTAGAAGTCGTAATATATCTCTTCAAATGATTCCTATTCTTCTTTCATTAAAAGTTTACTTTCTAATGATTCTCTAAGGAATCTAAATAACCCTGTTTATCACCTTCGCATCATTAGGGGACCAAGATTCAGAAATATGACAACTTGAACAAGACTTCGCTTTAGTTGAACCAGTTTTAATATAGCTTTGATCTAACATAGATTTGGAGAAGCTATACTTTCGGTCTTCTGCTGCTCTGTCTCTCAATGTATATTTATGTTAGTACTCTGATTTTGTTCCAGCAAGTCTGTCAGAATTTAGTGGCCTGTGTTGATGAAATGATCCAAATCTTTATTAATGGCTTTTATGAAGATAGGGTCCATTTTCTTCATCAATTCTTTGAAGTTAATTATTTGAGTTGAACATTTTGAATCTATTATTAGGATCATAGAATCTGTTTAATGGCATCGAATGATTTCTATCTCTTATCTAATAGAAGAAATCCAATTGGTCTATCTAGTCCTTATACTCTTCATTTTCTACTGAGACACTATCATCTCTTTGTAGTTTTAAGGTAAGGTTTTCCTGTGGCAAATTGATTTACTACTAATGGCCAATAAAATTCATTACCTGAACTTACTTATCAGCTTCCTCATTTATCTGTTGAATCATTTCAAAATTTTAATCCTCAAGAATCATATTATGATATGTATCATTTTCTGCACTCATTTCTATCACTGATAAGCGCATATTTGTTTCATTATGTTCACACTTCATCTCAGTGTTTTTTATTGCATTTTCTCTTAAAGCTTTTGCTTTCTATTACTTTTAAAGATAAGACTTAACTTGACTATCTTTTACTACGGATAAATATATAACAAACATGAAGCCTGGCACTTCTTCTACTGCTAAAATTATAGTTGGAAGCCAAAAAGGTAGTCCATCTAAAGACTAAGTGAAATAACAGTATACAATGAAGGGAAAAATTGTAAGGAGAGTGTATAAATATCTAGCAATGAATATTAATACTTGATAATTATGTTTAACCTCAATCCTTGAGGAGTAATATCTGCTCCTGACACACTCTCCAACTATCATCAAAACCATTCGAACAAATTGGAGTACAATCAGAGCAATAGACATTCTAAAATTGCTCATAAACTACTCATAATGCTTTGAGTCTTTGCTGCCACTCTCGTCAGCCTAATTTGTCTTTATATGGACAGTCGCAACAATTGTAATAATCATTCCAATACAGTCCAAAAGCATCATGAATATGACAGGATTTTTGAAGACTGGAGACTTCTTCATGATAACTTGAATCCTTTTCCTTTCTAACTTGATTTCTTGCAATACACTATTGTTTATTGAGGGTATAGTTTAGTTTCTCATTTTTATGATTTTTGCTTATAAATTGAGAATATTATATCCTTGTGCTTTTACGCTTTGAGATTCTAATATGAATTTATTATTTTAAAATTGGGCCAAAATTACCACTCAATTAGTTCATTCTCAGATTCATGGGGTTTTGGGGTTTTGGGGTTTTGGGG